GCTCCGGATAAGCATGTAACAGTTCGGATGACTACTCCAGAATCCAAAAATATTTAGCATTAACGTTAATAGATTCGCTAATTACTTAATAAATTTAATTAACCTTTCTAAAAGAAAACAATTTATATTTTAATGAAAATAATTTATTTTATTCAATAAACTTTTTTGTATATAGATATAGTCAACTCTATATAACGAAATTCTCATAACAATCTCTGGACATAAAAATTTCAAATTATAAAAGCGCTATGGGCTTTAATAAACATACAATAGTAATTTTCTATAATAAGTTTTTCTTCCGGGACAATAAAAAAACTAAGCTTTTTCCTTACGAAAATACAAATAAGTATCGAAAAGTTATTTTAACAATAAAGAAAATCTAACAGATAAATTAGCTCTTTTGTATTGAATTTAAATGATAAAGCGAGCTTAAATTTTTATCTAAGAATACAAAGATGATAAGACTAGTAAATTTATATTTTTCTTAATAAACGAAATATTATATTAAAAAAGGTCTTTTAGTGAATTGAATTATAACGATAATAGGTTCGATGGTATATTAAAAATCAAATTATGTTATTCTTCAATCTGTAAAATTAAAGAATGACTCTGACCAATTAATAATCAATAAGATTCGTGATTGACAAGGACGTTGATACGACTTAACTATAGATTAAGAAGCCTAACTTAAGATTATGGTCACAGTGACATATTTCTTAGAAAACAATTTGTTTTCTTTAATTGATAAATTCAAGGTGTGCTATATCATATAGATTCATCTTTGTTGCATGATTATTAGGCCAAGCGTTTGTTAAGGAATTTGAAGTAGAATTAGTAAATTAGTTATATAAATGTAATTTCTTTTTTTTGTTAATGTCGTGCGTAAATAAAAGATACAAACGAAAATAATTAAAAGTGCAGCAAATTTGACTTTATTGTCCGAAGCGTAGTGAGGATTTACATGTAAAAGTCCGGCCGATAATTAATTAATATTAATACTGTAATAATAGGGTCATTATCGTTATAATTATCGCTATTGTTAACGTTAATTAACGAAATCAGGATTTGTTCAACTAAGTAATCTCCGGGACCATCATATGATCATCCGGAGCACAACCTTATATACATGCTTATTGACGTACTTGCCAATAGGCAAATGAAAAAGCACGGGTTGTAAATTTAGTAAGTATATTTGTATATAAATGTACGGAGATATTTTTCTTTTGTACTGTACGTGCGTAGTTTTCAATAGCGCAATAGCGAGATAGTTTCTGTAGATCAAACTAATAACCAATCATAATAGGCATTTCAGAACTCAAACCACGTGTAAAAAAGTATAATACATTAAAATAGTATAAACAGTGATAGCATGATTAAAAATATATAGAAAAAACAAACAGGTCGTACGTACGTACGTACGAAGCTCTTACTTCATAACTTGTAGACAACTCCAGCGATTTCTGTGGATTATTATCCTACTGCTCTTCAGCTATCCATATACGTGTAAAGACTATACTATACAAAATGTCCGGAATTTGTAAAGCCCGTCTCACCGAAGAACGTCGACAATGGAGAAAAGATCATCCATACGTAAGACGATAGATCTATACTTTCCAAGTCTTTACCGTGCAACTGCGACTACTATTATGTGTCTTACTTATCAATTTTTATTACTTTCTTATTCGTAGGGATTTTATGCACGTCCCGTAAAGACTGAAAACGGGTTAGATTTATTGAATTGGCAAGTGGGCATTCCAGGAAAAAAGGGGGTAAATCATTGGTGTCATTTCTTAATTTTTTTAAACTATTCTCACTCTCGAGTATTGGAGTTAAGAGAAGTTATATTATATTGAAGTGTGAAATTTTCGATTATTGTTACAGACACCATGGGAAAACGGCGTGTTTAAGATGACGATGACATTTCCAGAAGGTATAATAAATCTTTTCCATCAAAATAATAAAAGTCTTATTGTATTTGATTATTAAATTCCTATAATGTGTTTAAATAATAATAGATTATCCATCCAAACCTCCGAAATGTAAGCCTGTCTTCCAAAATAATGGACAACTATATAAGAGATCTAGATGATCATTTCCGCGACGCAGTTAAATGGCTCCTTATGGGTGAAAGTCAATGTTATTTTTAAGTGTATAAAAGTTTCACAACATTTATATTCTCATTGTTTAATTTTTTAGGTAAATTTGTACCTGCTCTCTTCCATCCAAACGTGTATCCTTCCGGAACTGTTTGTTTGTCAATTTTAAATGAGGAAGAAGGATGGAAGCCCGCAATTACCATTAAACAGGTAAACGAGTTTAAAAACATAATAGATTATCATCTAATTTTATTAATGTGTATCTATTATTATTTAGATTTTATTGGGCGTTCAGAATCTTCTTGATGAACCGAATCCTGACAGCCCCGCTCAATCTGATGCATACATGCTGTTCAAGTATGTTTTCATTCATTCATAGTATCTTTTATCTTTTAATCCAATCTTAATATGCTAAAAAAAAAAAATAAAAATTTGCAGAAAGGACCGTGTGGCATACGATAAAAGAATCCGACAACAAGCCAAAGAGAATCCTGCATAATCTTTCCTATATTGATGTAAAATTGGTTGCTGTGTAGCCATTTATTTCTTCTATTATACTTCAATTTGAATAAGTATTTTAGACTAATGCGAAAATGTAGGCCTTATATTAATTATGAATAAAATAATTTTCGCATATAACATATTTAAGTGCTTATTTTGCATAATTGTATAATATTATCTGTTATTGTTTAATTATTATTGTTAAAACTCGGATTTTAATAATAAAATATTATAAAGTTTACACAATTTGATTGATTTAGGGCATTTTCAACAATGTAATTTACTAGTGATGCTCAATCACAATTAACTGAAGTGATCCTATAACGATTTTCCGCAACAACTCTGGAAAGAATTGTTTTTTTTCGTTTTAAATGATAATGAGATCAATTTTTTAGTAAATCAGATCGTCGGGTAACTCATTGAGAGAGACGCCTGAGAAACCAAAAATGTATATTAAGGCATTTTTGTTATAGTGTAAAGATCATATTTGAAAGTGCAAGTGTTTATTTTTTGGTTCAAAATTTTTTTTTTTTTTTTGCCGCTCTTACGTAAATGGAGAGATAACAACACACCCTCACATTATGTGCAAATGCATCCGATAATATTTTTGTCCATAGCTGAGGTTATAATGATTTTCGGAAAGATAAACACCAGGACGAACCAGAGAAGGTACGAAAAGCAGGACCGATGTTAATGCTGACAAGGCTGTTGGTACATCAGCAACAAAATCATCAGACTCTAAACTCAACCAACGTGTACTGTGCCTATAAAACTTGATTACACTATTTCACTGTACTCTTTATAATTCTTATTATTACCGGAATTAGTGTCTCGGTGAAATTATTTTAAAATTCAAAATGTTTTACCAAGAGAAATTTTAGTCACACCAAAACATCTGAAGCCCTCTGAAACCAGGGATGGTAAATGACCTGGGCATTTGATCAAAATTTAAATGACCCCAGGTAATCAAATAATGACCTGTCATTTGGGTCATTGAGGTCATTTAGGTCATTTACGCATAAAATAATTTTATTGGTTTGATAACTAAAAAAGTTAGTTTTTTAGTCGATAATCGTATCCATACACAGTATAAGATAAAGTTTTTACTAAGCTAGTCGTTATCGTTATTTACAGTATGTCTTAAGTAAAGTTGTTCGGAATAACAGATTGCATATACCTTAAAAGTTTCATGTAATTTGAATATTTGAATAACTCTTTATTAATTCACTTCCGCATTTCACATTTAAATAAAAAATTCATAATAAAAAGTTATTCAAATTACACGAAACTTTTGGAGTGTATGCAATTTGTCATTTTGAAACTTAAGGCATTTTGACTAGCTTAATAAATTTGACTTTTAAAAGAGTTACGATTATTAATTATGTTTTATCATATCAGTCACACGATTTGTCACGCAGATCAAATTTTTAATTATGGGTCAAATGATTGACGTACCTAAATTTCATATGCAAAATTTAGGCAAATTTTGCTTTCTTGGCTTATTTGGCAAGAAGAAGCTGTCAGTTTA